CAGTTGCTCACATTCTTTGTAGTTGCAGACCATGGGACGCTGGACCCGGTTTCCAGCACAAGCTTCACTACTGGGTTGAGATGTTGAGGATTCCCGGCCTCATTCATTTACTATTATAATATAAGCTACGACTTAAAAAAAAAAAAAAAAAAAAAAAAAAAAAAAAAAAAAAAAAAAAAAAAAAAAAAAAAACAAAAGAAAAACCACGTATGCATGTATGATTGCATTTCACTGAAAGAATTAGAACACAGGATGGCATCCTACAAGGCTACAACAACAACAACAACAACAACAACAAAAAAAAAAAAGAACATTAAAAAAAAACACTACATCACACCCAAGAGCCTAGCTCAGTGGGTACACCCATGAACTGTTGAAGATACAGACCCGTGTTCGAATCCAGATGATGAAACGTGATGAGTAAGGTTGTAAAACCAACTATTTCTGAATTGCCTGGGGCTGGAAGCAACAATCATGTACTGCATCAGCAGTCAACAGCATCGCTCAATCATCATAGACTTACATACATGTAAGACCAAATGCAAAGAACAACATGATAGCTGTAAACGTTATCATAATTGCCGAAAGAAAATGAAACAAGTTAACAGTGGTGGTTAACGTTGTATCCGTGTACGCTCTGATAACGATGACGTGAGCAGACCAACCACTGCGCACAAAAAAACAGCGATACCACCGCCAATCCATCAACACCACACCGCTTTACCCCCGACGTCGTCATCCTTACGGACAGAAGGAATTGCCCACTCCCTCGGCATGCACTTATACTAGACAACTACGTCAACTTCAGTAGTCAAATTCGAGAACCCGCGTTTTTTTTGCACAGTGTCAACGACCGTGAACAAGCCATCGTCCTAACTCCAAAAGGCCTCGCGGTCGTTGCCGGTTCGAGACCAGGCGGACCAACTGGCACCTAAAAAAAGTTGCACTCTACCTCTTACTCTAAGCACATTGGTTCGAAACCACACTGGAGCCGAGCTGCCAGCCCCATCACAGATACGCTAATATACGCTACAAAAGGGTCCCCGCCTCGTCCACTACCCAATATATCAGCCCAACTAGTAAAAATCAACTCGGATAAAAGGAAGCTATACCAGACAATTCATAGGGTGTTCCCAGGGGCCGGTCAAGGCCGTCACCCTCCTTTTTTTTCTTTTTTTTTGTCTTTTTTTTTTTAACCCTGCAATGCCTGCATCACCAGATGGCCACTATCTGTTGGAGAAAGGAAAGCCTTCACCATCGGGCCTCTCTGCACTGCTCTCCAAAGGTGGACTTTGACAATGAACTTTCCCTAAGAACATGGAAAGATGCACTTCCATATGTTTTGTCTTTTCTGAATGTATCCCTCAGTGCAACTGGGCCCAGGAGACAAGGGGGGCAGCTTCCTCTGCCTTTCTTTTTTTTTGGGGGTTAACTTCGGCGCAGTCACGAAAACAGTTTGTAATTGCACTTCAGGCAATCCCGCGAATACAACACACCCCCACGCAACGTAGGTCATATACATTCAGCATTACGGGCCCTTTTGCCTCAAGTGCAATTACAAACTCTTTTTTTTTTTTTTTTTTTTTTTTT